TTCGAATTGATTTGATACGTTTCAGCGCAAAATATAGAAGTTGAAAGATCTGAAAACTCATAATTCGATTGGAGACACGATTCGTAATTCAGACATTTGTTTGACGTGATTTGAAGCCTCCACTAAGTTCGTATTATATTTTGGACCGTGTTGGTATATTTGGTTGAGGTCCCGAGGGGTTTGGGTGTATATTTTGGAGATTAGTAAAGTTAAGAAATTTGGGAGTTTGATCATGGTCAATATCAGGTCAAGACGACCTCTTTTCAATATTTTGAGTGCGCGAGCAGGTCCGTAGCGTGTTTTATGATTGAAATTCATATATGGTTTGTGTCCGGGAGATTCCGGATGAGTTTCGGGAGTGCTGAGGCAAACGGGAAGTGCGGACCTCGGGGGAATTGTGCGGACCGCACAATTTTGGTGTGGCCGCACTTAAGTCCGCAGTGGAGTGTGCGGGCCGCACAATTTTGTGTGCGGCCGCACTCAAGAACTCTCAGATTCGCTCGTCCGATTTCGGAAGCCTATATCTTTTGATCTACGAGGAATTTTGAGATGATTTAAAAATGAAAGTTGTAGCTCTTCGTATCTAGTTTCCAGAAAGATAAAGAAGTCATCATTTGGACATCTTTAGAGAAACTTATGTCCAAAAAAATAAAGCATGGCAGTGCGACCGTACCATTTTTGTGCGACCGCAGGAGCTGGGATGTGCGGCCGTACTTGTAATTGTGCGGACCGCACATTGGAAGTTCAGAGGATGTACTATATATCTGAGGTTTAGGTTATTATTTTTCAAGAAATTCATCGAGGTAAGTAATTCTAACTCAGATTTGGTTAATATACATGAATATATCACTGATTTCATCATTTAATTAGTACTTTGAGATGAAAATTTGGGGGGAAATGTAGAAACTTCATAAACCACAAATTTAAGATTTGAAGGTCGATTTGTTATTGGAATTCGATAAAATTAGTATGGTTGAACTCGTATCGGAATGGGTATTCGGATTTCGTGAAAATTTTGTCGGGTTCCGAGAAGCTAGCCCCGCGTTGACCTTTGTTGACTTTTTGGAATAAATATTTAAGTTGACGTTTTATTATCCGGAATTGTTTCCGATGAATTTTAATGAAGTTATATAACTGATTTGAATAGATTTGTGCGGTCCGGATGTCAATTCAAGCAAGAAGGCGATTTTGGAATATCGGCATAATTTCAAAAAGGTAAGTGTCTTGCTTAACCTCGAGTGGGGGAATTACCCCTTAGGCATCGAGTCTTATGTGCCATTTATGAAATGTGAAAAGCCGTGTACGCAAGGTAACAAGTACGTACTCGGGCTTATATGTACAAATTTTATTGGATTAAAGTCTTAGGCATTATTGTGGAGTAAATTGGGTAATTGTAGAAATTTATTAAATTATCTGTTTGCCATGCCTAAATCCTTGTTGTTGAATTTATTTTTATATGACAATTTGATGTGATTGTTACTTGAAATATTTATGAAATTTCGTGAGTATTGTTGGGTTAATATTTCTTGGAAATTAATTTCAATATGAATTTTTCCTATGCAAATAATTAATTAAGCAAGTTTTAAAAGAAGTGTTAATATAATTATCTAAATTTGGATTAATGAAGGCTTTGCCTTATGCTGAGTAATTTCTATCTCTGTTGATGGTTTTTGGTGTGTTATACACATTGTGTGGAGCCTTCGGCTATTTGTTGTGAAATTAATTGATTTGGTTGCATCTTTGGAATTTTGGTTGTGGTCATTGGACAAATTGTGATATGAATTGATTTTGTTATGTTGCCGTGATAATTTTCCGTGTAAATTGTTGTGTTGTATGAGTTATTATTTTGAGGAGATAAGGTGGCATTTCACCATTGATATTATGTGGGTATAAGGGTGGCATTTCACTGTTGTTGTGTTTGTTGGAATATTGTCTGGGCGGAGCGATAAGGGCGGCTATAGGAGCGATAAGGGTGACAATATGAGCGATAAGGGTGACTATTGATATTGTCAGGGCGGAGGGATAAGAGTGGATATAGGAGAGATAAGGGTGGCTATTGTTAGGGACGACATGTGATGATGTGGAATTGTGGTGTTTGTGATTTTTATGTGATGTTGTGATATTCTTGTGTTTATTTTTATACTTTGTGCAATTTGTCTTGTTGTTGGTAAATTGATAACAATCTGATTTATGTTGAAATTGAGAGTTTGTGGCTATTGCCAGGCGGATTATAAAATGAAATGTGGGCACGAGGTGCCGTGAGTAAATAATGAGAATATTGGCACGAGAACTGTCCATGCGATTGTGATATGAAATGTGAGCACGAAGTGCTGTGAGTAAATGATAATGATATTTGGCACGTGAATTGTCCGTGCAGTTGTGATATGAAATGAGGGCACGAGGTGCCGGAAAAATATGATGATTTAATTATGGGCATGAAGTGCCATGAAAATATATAAAAATGAGCTGAGACCCGCATTTTTAAGATTATGAAATGAGGTGTCATAGGGTGACTTTTTAATTGAAAGAATTATATTTAAAATATTTATTTGGAAGGACTTTTATTTAGAAAATATTATATGAAAGAATTGTATTTGAAAGATATTTATTTGAGGAAATTATATTTGAAGATATTTAGTGAAAGAAGTTTTTATTCGAAAGATATTTATTTAAGGAAATTATATTTGAAAAAGAATTTTATTCGTAAGAATTATATGTGAAAGATATTTAATTAAAGAACTTGATTTATCTGAGTGTAATTGTATTTATCAGTTGTTGAGCGATATTAATGGTGATTTTATTGTCTTACTATGCATATCACTGGTTGTTTTATGTTGCCTTTATTGTTATTTGCTTTCTATTATTTTTGTATATTAGATTGCACATGCTATTAGACTAGTGAGTGTCTTGACTGTACCTCGTCTCTATTCCACTGAGGCTAGTCTTGATACTTACTGGGTACCGACTGTGGTGTACTCATACTACACTTCTGCATATTTTTGTGCAGAGCCAGGTATTGAAGATATCGGACTTGAGCAGAGTTAAAGCGGGATCGTAAGGATTCAAGGTAGAGCTGCTTGGTCGTCGCAGTCCCTTGGAGTCTTTTCATTTTATTGTACTGTTAATTTTTAATCAAACAGTATTATATATTCGATCCTCGTGATCATTCCATGTATTCAGTTAGAGTTCGTGACTCGGTACTACCAGTCTTGGGAGGTTGTAGATTCATATTTGTTCCGTTGGTAGTTTTGAATATTTATTTAATTCAAATAAAAAAATGGCTTCAAAACGTAATTGAAATCGGCTTAGCTAGTCTTAAAGACTAGGTGTCATCACGATGCCTGTGGTGGGATTTTGGGTCGTGATAATTGTGCTATTGTCCGGGTAGTTTAGGACCCATATCATGCTATACTTGGAATGTTTGTGCCCTTACTTGCTAATATAATCACTTAGTCATGATAGAAATTGATAAAAGAATTGTGTGAGATTAAATTAACTTACTTGAAGGTTTGTATGAGATACTTGACTGTAAATGAGAAACTTATGTTTTCTTAAAAATAATTGTTATTTGTGGATCGGGCCGAGCGCCTCGGTAGTAAATAGATGCATATATGGTTCGCGCCATTCGACCCTCTGGCAGTGCACAATTTAAATAATTATTGGATCAGGCCGTACGACCTCGGCGTGATTTGCGCATGCTTGTATTGCTTGCCTTGAAATTTATAAATAACGATATTGCCTCCCTGGTCTGAGATAAATTGATAATTTGATATGGCCTCATTGGCCGGAGATATAAATTGTTAAAAGATGAAAATAAATTTGAAAATCCACTATTGACAAGAGAATTAATTACCTGTCTCATGTTATTGTGTTTATCGTTGCCTCATGAAAATCCATAATGTACCATATCATTGGTATATTGATTATAGCCCATAGTAAGTGTCCGAGTCGATCCCTCGTCACTACTTCTTTGAGGTTAGGCGGGATACTTACTGGGTACGCGTTGATTTACGTACTCATGCTACACTTGCTGCACATATTTGTGCAGGTACACATGTTTAACAGCCTTGTGGGCGCAGAGGCGCGATTATGGCGGGGACTTAGGTGAGCTGCATTCTATACGACGTTCCGCAGCCAACAGAGTCTCCTTCAGAGTACTTACATTTTTCCTGTCCAATTGTATTTCGGACAGTTGTTGTATTTTATTTTACATTCTTAGTAAATGCTCATGTAGTTGTGACACCGGGTTTTGGGATGATTATGGGTTGCACTGTATTGGAAATTCTTTTAAAGATAGTATTACGTATTTTGTAAACTCCATCTTCTGCTATTTAATTGAGGGGAATAACTATGAATTCAAAATATTAAAATGAGAATTTATTAATTATTGATGTTGGCTTGCCTGACAGTAGTGTCCGGTGCCATCACGACCTTTCAAAGATTTTGGGTCGTGACAAAATCATTACTCCATCCCTCACAGGGTCATTGGATATTCGATGTTTGTACTCATTGTTTAATAGATTGTATCGCTTGATGTAGTTTAATAATATTTTGTTTCTTGATTTAATTGTATAGTATTGTATGATAACGAATAAGTTTACTAATACCCTAATTACTACAAGTATTAAATTTATCAACAATTACAAAATAATTTAAGATATCTCAATTTCTTAATTTATCACCAATTATGCCTCGTAAATATTTTAAGATATTAAATTCACCAAAACCAATAAAAAGGGTCTTAGCATAAAAAAGGTAGGTGAGAATGCTAAAAGGGATAAATAGAAAAATGAAGCGCCAAACAAACTAGATGTCTAATATTGATTCGTAGATTTAGATGTTATTTTGGTGATTTAATTGCCCAAGCAAGTTCATATGATATTATTACACTTGTGTTCATGTTTGCTTTGGAGCCCGATGTAAGATGAAGTTAAACAGAAAGATAGAACAATGAAATAACAAGTAACATAACTGGGAAAAAAAAGAACGTAACAATCGAATCACACCAAATGAGTCTGTTACATAAAATGGGTCTTTTCGTTATTACATACCAACGAATTTAACAATACAATACAATAGAATTTTAGTAACAACTAAAATTGTTACTAAAATAGCAGATTAACGAGAAATCATATATAATGTCTTCACCAACTAGTATACATGACACATGCTTGCTTACCAAACACAAGAAAATATGAGAGAAACACACTCATTTTCCCATAGGAAACATTTTTTTGAAGATGTTTTTCTTCATACCAAACACACCCTACATGGCTACATCCCTTCAGGAAATGGGATGGATTCACAGCAATGGTAATAGCCATTGTCACCATACACAAACCTTTGTGAAAGATGAGCTTCACGTAAAAGACACTCTCCCCATTCTTCCGAGCCATACTGAGCAAAAATTGCTCGTGCATCAAAGGAATCAGCATTTCCTGATCTATTTTTGCTACCAATTAGAGAACAGTAAGTCAGTGGCAACCTTTAACAACAACGACAGTTATGCAACCGGTAGCATCATGCTAGAGACTTAAAGCCGACTAATAAACAAGACTATGCAATGAAAGAATTAAAAATGGCACCTTCTGCTGTGTCGCGCATTCATTATAGTGGCATGTAACTGTATTAGAAGGGGCAGAAAAGGCTTATCAGGAACTTTTCAAAACATGAAAATAGCCACACAAAAAAAAAAGAATATTAATTTTAGTAATTTTTATCACGACAATTTCATGGATAAGCTATACTAGCATTCTGGTATCAAATCAAAAAAGGAAAAAGGCCACCAGAGACTATAGAATACATCTTGATAAGTAACTGTATCAAGTGCAAGTCTAAAAACAGTTTTAGGGGGACAAGCATAATGAGCATTTCTCAAAAGTAACCATAAAAGTGAGAATATAATTGAATAAGATGAAGCATAAGTATTTAATACTTGATGCCAGAGCAGAAAAAGAAATGAACACCACACGAAAGCACCAGCAAGAAAAATGCAACTGAAGAAACAAGTTCCAGGCATATAAATTTGGAATGCAGGAGGTGAGAAATGAGTTACGGTTCGAGAGTTCTGAATTCAAAGAGGTGTCAGAATTAAAATGGATGCAGCCATATTGACTCTTGGTAGTGAATTAACTGCTTCCATTTCCAAAATAGGGTCGAACCATTTCTGGTTGTATTAAGAGATCCTCTACCGGGTGCCTTATGATTTTAGGCCCTTGCTTTTTTAGGATAGCCAAGAAATCCCCGGGGGCCAAGTGGTGCAAAGTTCGGAACTCGGTAGATAATGAGCCCGCCCCTCAATCCTTCTCCGCTTAAATATCTAGCTTTTGTACCACTAGACCAAAGCCCTGGGGCGCTTTTAGACGCTTGCAATGAATAAATTGCTTTTATGAGAAAAGAAAGTGGAAGGGTCGGTGGGGGAGGAAGAGCAAGGAAGAAGCAGCACTAGATTGAATGGTCAAAGTATTTGAACACAGCATCAACAGAAAT